ATACACAAAAAGGTAATAATATGAAGTTTGCTATGATATAATGCACCAAAATAACGTGTAGTCCCATCCTTTTTTGATAATGCCAGACGTATTATGTTGATGAAGAGATGATAATAAATGAGTTGCTACCTATTTACAGTATATATTGCTCGGAGTCCTGTATATAACTCAACTAACGTATCATTAAAGTATCTATAATTTACTTTTTGTTAACTAAAAAGTATTTGTAATTTACTGCTGGTATTTATCATGATGTTTATAAATAGCATGAGGTTAAGGTTCCTTGTCGCGTAACACTTCAAAAAAAAATTAACTAAAACAAAGCTTTTAAGGCGCTTATATCTTTAATTGCTCTAAAAGCTGGCTTAGAATTAATTAATAAGGAAATTTTAATTCTGGTTTTGACTTTGGAATATAAAAACTAATGTCAACTTGCAGAGCAGCCAAATTTACTTATTAATAATGACTTTTAATAATTATATGTTAATTATATTATGAAAATTTTCTCTGTTTGTGATTTTTTGCTGCGCCATAATTAGGCTGGTTGTGATCTACATGCATTTTGTATTACCTAAACAATTATATATACACTACATAATAAAAGCGTTTAACAAATTAAAAAATATTTACACTATCTTTTAGAGAAGACTTTGATACAATTATAAATAATGGCTCGGGGTATTGTTTATTAATCCTATTATTACATAATTGTATAATATTTGCATGCAATTTAAACTAACTAAATTTTTTATTAAAACTTATTTCATAATATAGCACGTAAGTTATTTTTTAATTCTATTATTACATAATTGTATATATAATTTAAACTAACTAAATTCTTTATTAAACCTTATTTCATAATATAGCAAGTAAGTTTAATTCTATTATTGTATAATCATATAAGATTTGCATATAATCTAAACTAACTAAATTCTTTATTTAAAAAATTATTTTGTAATTTCTTTTAGATTGTAAGTATCATTACATAATTGTATAATATTTGCATATAATTTAAACTAACTAAATTCTTTATTTAAAAAATTATTTGTAATTTCTTTTAGGTTGTAAGTATCATTACATAATTGT